TTTTAGGGCTCTTGCATTAAGGAACCTGTTAGAGATCGCTGCACGTGGCAGCCCTGATGGTGTAGTGGAGAGAGCTGCAGTGTACAAAGCTGAAATTCACTGGTTCGAATCGCGGTCCGTGAGCGTCTGCTGCTCTCGGCTAAGGCTGCCTGGCCTTCTCACAGTCAGGGCAGGAAAATCAGCCAGGGTTCCTGCTCCTGGGCCATCGACATTGCCCTCATTGCCGACATTGGTTGTGCGCTTGGGTGTGGTCAGGCCCTGTGACGTGCTCTACTGGTGAGAATTGCTGTCAGCCCACACTGACTGCCAAGGCTCACCTGAACTGGGTACTGGAAGGCAACCGGTGCCTGTGGAAATGCACCCCAGCAAACGGAGACTGACACCGGGGCTGGGGGGAGCCGGCAGACAATTAAAAACATAACTGGACAACATAAATTTATATTAAAAAATATTGGGCATTGTATAACCCCACAGAAAAGTAATGATGGCGCTCACTCTTTCACTTCCCTCTCACTTTAATTGTCTTGAAACATGAAGAGGCTTACACTCAATCTGAGTGTACAATAGCCTACACATAGCCTACTGATGTACACACACAAAATCCCATTTCCTTCTCGTGTTCACATTCCTCTCCACCTCTGAAGGAATTCCTCTGTGTTGGACCCAACATGACCATATCCCTCTGTGTTGGACACAGCGTCTCTATGTTAGCTGTGATATAAAGCTGTAACAACGTCTGAGGTCTGAGCTCACTGGAGCTGAGCCCAGCCAGTGGGCAGTGATCTCTGTGCCCCTCTCACACAGACCAGGAATTCACTCCAGAATGTTGAAGTCATTCTTTTCCATCCAGCTCTGAGGCTGACATGTGGCCAGTTACAACCTTAACATGTCTCTTCCATTTACAGTAAAAATAGTCTTTAACAAACAGGTTAATTGGCGTTGTCAGCGTGTGAGGCTGGAATCCCAGCCCAAACATTCACTCAGCATTTTTTTGGGGTCAGCTGGGAGTCTAACGCATGCGGAAACCCATCACCATACTTAAAAGTCTCCAAACCAAACTGAGATTTCCATGCATCAAGTACAGCTATCAAGTTTCATTTTGCCATTGTGCGGTCAACACTCTCTGCCCCCTCCTCCTGCCCTTCCTACTGCCCCTTTCTCCCTCAGCCCCTCCCTCTGTCCCTCAGTTGTTGGTATGTGCTGGAGTTACTGTTCTATATATGTTGATGTAGGGTGTGAGAGGGAAGGTTTATTTTACTCTCCTGTCTTCCTGCAAGGGGTTACATTTTAAGTCTAATTTGTGAAGTTCTACCCACTGTCTAGACTCTAAGTCAATTGTCAGTGACAGACTAGCCAGCCTGGCTAGTCAGCTGGTCATGGAGAAGCAGGTGTCACTGGGATAGGGATTCTTTCCACTTGGCTTCCTTTAACCCTGCCAGCCAAACCCAAATGGGTAGGGTGAGCCTTGCAATGGGAAACTTGCTTCACAGCTCTTTGCACTTTTAGCTGGTTATACCCTAGAGGTTCTAAACGCACACTCTGGGGTCTCCAAGCATTCACTCTTGTCAACCTGCGTCTAATAATCTCCAGAATTACTAAGATCCCTCCAGAGAAAAGGTGCACATTCCATTACACACACAAGGAAAGTTCCACATGTAGGTAGAACTCGCAATCTGGTTTGGCTACTCGACAGCAAGTTTATTGGTTTCCACACATGTCCCACCTTGCTGATCCACAAAACCCTAAAAATCTGCTTACACCTACATCATATACTAGACAGGGGTTTGTAAAATTAATTGATAACTCAAACAAGATTACAAAATCAGTTTGGATGAATCCTTCTCTCGCTGGAGGGATGTACTCTGTTTATCGCATCCCGCAGAGTTTAAGGCACAGGTTTGCGAGAGCCAAGGCTTGGGGACTCCAGAGCGTGTGTTGGGGTGGTGCTGGAGTTTAACCAGCTAAAACCATTGAAAGGCCTGTCAGTCCCCAACCCTACGCATCTCTATTGGAATCAAAACTCACACAGAAAGTACAGTTGAAATATTTTATTGTTTTCAAATAATTAAATACTTTACAAATTATACAGAGAATAACACATAAGACTTGGAGTGTAAGAGCTGAGAAGAGGCAGTCTGCTCTGGTCAGTGTGGTATCTTTCTCCAGTACTGAACTGTGAGCAATATAGCACCTGCCAGCACCAAACAGCACCCTGCCCTGTACACCGGACTAAAACCACATTTGGAAATCAAATGACGTTCTCAAGAAACAGTTTAAAATAAATATCCATTTTTTTTGTACAAAACCTATCCCTCTCATCATTGCTGTGTTATTTTACTCCGTAAATAGGCCGTACTTTCCTATACCCCGAATCTTGGAACTTCTTGCCTCAATCCATCCATCTTGTCCCCTCTCTGCCCATCTTCCAATCACACCTGAAGACTTTTCTCTTCAATCGGGCCTTCAGGCACCTCCCCTCCCTTTCCAGCTTGGGGTCAAACCACACCGTTATTAAGTGTTCTGAGATATTGCCCACATGAAGGGCGCTGTATAAACGCAAGTTGTAGTTCTTGGTGTTGTAGAGGAAAAGGGTTTTTGTGTCTGGATCAGATTATTCTTCAAACAACAACAAGATTACATGTGTATAGCGCCTTTCACGTCAGGAGGATGTCCCAAGGTGCTGGACAGACAGTTTTGGACCTGAGCTGGAGGTTGGGATCGGGGAGAGGTGAGGCAGGGGGGGTAAGGAGGGAGATCAAAAGCACGGTCAAAGAGGGTATTGAGATGGGTCTTGAAGGAGGCAAGGGAGGGGGGTGAGGTGGAGGGACTGCGGGATAGAATTCCAGAGGGTGGGAGCAGAGTGGCAGAAGCCAGCCCGCCCGACAATAGTGGTGTGGTGTTGATAAACTCCTTACAAAGAACGATAATGATTATTTCACTAAAAACAGATTTCAGTTCCCTCAATGGACAAATAGTTAAAGGAATATCTACCCAATCTCTCTCTCTCTCTTTCTTCCTACCACACTGGTGGTTGGAAGTTTGCGCAGTTGAGGAAGGGAAGGGGATCATTGGAATTATTTATCACCTCCTAAACAAAAAACAACAAATTACGTTAGAACAGCACCTTTCATGTCTGGAGGACATCCCAAGGCACTGGACACTCAGAGATTTGGACCCGAGCAGGGGGTTGGTATCAGGAGAGTTGGAGGGCAGGAAGGGTAGGGGTAGGAAGTTGACCGAAGACTTAATCAAAGAGAAAGGTCTTGATACTGGCCTTGAAGGAGGCAAGGGAGGGAGTGAGAAGAAGAGATTGTGGGAAGGGATTTCAAAGGGTGGGGCAGAGAAGCTGAAGGCCCGACCGTCGATGATGGGCGGGCCGGGGGATGGTGGGGCGGCACATAGAATAGGCCAGAGCCCGCTGAGCAGTGGAAGCAGACACGTCTCTAAAGGTTGAAATGTTCCCGGATCCTGGCCATTTCTCTAACTCTGGAATTCTAAGCTTTGTTGTTGCACAGACAATCACTCGGGTGCCACAGCCAGCGGTCTGCAAGGCTCATTGCAGTGACGCCGGGACGTCAGGGCAGGAAAATCAGCCAGGGTTCCTGCTCCTGGGCCATCGACATTGCCCTCATTGCCGACATTGGTTGTGCGCTTGGGTGTGGTCAGGCCCTGTGACGTGCTCTACTGGTGAGAATTGCTGTCAGCCCACACTGACTGCCAAGGCTCACCTGAACTGGGTACTGGAAGGCAACCGGTGCCTGTGGAAATGCACCCCAGCAAACGGAGACTGACACCGGGGCTGGGGGAGCCGGCAGACAATTAAAAACATAACTGGACAACATAAATTTATATTAAAAAATATTGGGCATTGTATAACCCCACAGAAAAGTAATGATGGCGCTCACTCTTTCACTTCCCTCTCACTTTAATTGTCTTGAAACATGAAGAGGCTTACACTCAATCTGAGTGTACAATAGCCTACACATAGCCTACTGATGTACACACACAAAATCCCATTTCCTTCTCGTGTTCACATTCCTCTCCACCTCTGAAGGAATTCCTCTGTGTTGGACCCAACATGACCATATCCCTCTGTGTTGGACACAGCGTCTCTATGTTAGCTGTGATATAAAGCTGTAACAACGTCTGAGGTCTGAGCTCACTGGAGCTGAGCCCAGCCAGTGGGCAGTGATCTCTGTGCCCCTCTCACACAGACCAGGAATTCACTCCAGAATGTTGAAGTCATTCTTTTCCATCCAGCTCTGAGGCTGACATGTGGCCAGTTACAACCTTAACATGTCTCTTCCATTTACAGTAAAAATAGTCTTTAACAAACAGGTTAATTGGCATTGTCAGCGTGTGAGGCTGGAATCCCAGCCCAAACATTCACTCAGCACTTTTTTTGGGTCAGCTGGGAGTCTAACGCATGCGGAAACCCATCACCATACTTAAGAGTCTCCAAACCAAACTGAGATTTCCATCAAGTACAGCTATCAAGTTTCATTGTGCGGTCAGCACTCTCTGCCCCCTCCTCCTGCCCCCCTCCCTCTGCCCCTTTCTCTGGTTTGGCTACTCGACAGCAAGTTTATTGGTTTCCACACATGTCCCACCTTGCTGATCCACAAAACCCTAAAAATCTGCTTTCACCTAAATCATATACTAGACAGGGGTTTGTAAAATTAATTGATAACTCAAACAAGATTACAAGATCAGTTTGGATGAATCCTTCTCTCGCTGGAGGGATGTACTCTGTTTATCGCATCCCGCAGAGTTTAAGGCACAGGTTTGCGAGAGCCAAGGCTTGGGGACTCCAGAGCGTGTGTTGGGGTGGTGCTGGAGTTTAACCAGCTAAAACCATTGAAAGGCCTGTCAGTCCCCAACCCTACGCATCTCTATTGGAATCAAAACTCACACAGAAAGTACAGTTGAAATATTTTATTGTTTTCAAATAATTAAATACTTTACAAATTATACAGAGAATAACACATAAGACTTGGAGTGTAAGAGCTGCGAAGAGGCAGTCTGCTCTGGTCAGTGTGGTATCTTTCTCCAGTACTGAATTGTGAGCAATATAGCACCTGCCAGCACCAAACAGCACCCTGCCCTGTACACCGGACTAAAACCACATTTGGAAATCAAATGACATTCTCAAGAAACGTTTTAAAATAAATCTCTTTTTTTTTACAAAAACTTTTTCTCTCATTGTTGCTGTGTTATTGAGTCAAAAGCGAAGGTCCCATCAACCTCCTTGTGGCCTGGTCTCTCTGCAGTCACCTCTGAGTTGCAGTGGCAGGGGATTTGGTGTATGAATCACATCATCTCTGTGGAGAGAGAATCAGTTTGATGGCAGGTCACAGAATCATAGAATCGTACAGCACAAAAAGAGGCCATTCGGCCCATCAAGTTTGAATAGAACAATTAATGTCAATCCCACTCCCCAGCCCTTTCACCATAACCCTGCAAACCCATCCTCCTCAAATACCCGTCATGTATGAACAACAACAAGATTACATGTGTATAGTGCCTTTCATGTCGGGAGGATGCCTCAAGGCGCTGGACAGTGTACAGCATTTCAGACCTGAGCTGGGGTTGGGGGGGGGGGGCGAGAAGGGAGGGGAAGGGTGGTGGCTGATGGCATGGTCAAAAAGGAGGGTCTTGAGGCGGTACTTGAAGGAGGCTAAGGAGGAGGCGAGACAGAGTGATTGGGGGATGGAATTCCAGAAGTTGGGGGCAGAGTGGCTGAAGGCCACACTAATGGTGGACGGGTGGGTCGGGGGACGTGGAGCAGGCCAGAGCCGGCTAAGCGGAGGGAACGGGCGAGTTGGTAGGGGGTTAGGAGGTCACAGAAGTAGGGTGGGGCGAGGCCATGGAGGGCTTAGTATGTGAGGACCAGGATCTTGAACGGGATTCTCTGAAGGATAGGGAGTCAATGAACCAGGTGAAAAGCAACTAAATTCGAAATCAATCTGCGGAAACACTATTTCAGTGAATGACTGAGAGAGCCCGATTGCAGGAGGATAGAGTATTATTTGTCACTTTGACCAGGGCTGTCTCTGTGTCTTGAGCTGCATGAAACTCAGATTGGAGGGGTTCATGGAGGGAATGCTGGGAGAGGAAAGAGCGAAGCTGAGAAGCGATGACTTTGAAAAAAAGGAAGTTTTGAAATGGGACGGTAGTTAGAGCAGAGATGGGTCAAGGGAAGGTTTTTTTTGAAAGTAGGGCTGATGACAGCTGTAGGGGTGATAACGGATGGGTGCGGTGTGGGTGGACCGGGAGAGTTTAACAATGTCTGTTAGAAGTGGGCAAGGAGGTGGAGTTGGAGGTGAATAGAGAGGTAGGGATGGGATCAAGAGAGCAGGTGCTGGGTTTCATACGGGAAATGATGGAGGTAAGCAAAGAGGGGGAGATAGGGTCAAAAATGGGAGACTGAGATTTGGGGTGGGGATTGAAAGGGGAGCGAGAGATGAGGACGGGGTGTCAGCAGAGGCGGCAGAGTGGATCCCCTCGACCTTGGACTGAAGGAAATCCATCATCTCCTCACATTTGGCGTTGGAGGAGAGGATGGCAGGTGCATGGGAAGGTGGATGAAGGAGTTGGTTTATGGTAGAAGAGAGAAGTCTGGGGTTGTCCTTAGCTTCCAAGATCATTTTGTAATAAAAGGATGACTTAGCGGAGGCGAGGGCATAGCAATGGGTACAGTCCTACCAGATCTGACGGTGAACTGTTAATCTGGATTTTTGCCAGTTGCACTCGGCGGAGCTCATCTGAGATTTGAGGGAGCGGAGGTTACTGGGGAACCAGGGGCTTGTGCCCGTAAGTGGCGGTGCGGGAGATGACAGGGTCAAGGGTATAGAGGATGACCGAGAAGGAGTTGTTTAGAAGGGGTGACCGAGGCGGGTAGATGATTTCAGCAGAAGGCCCAGAGGGATAGGAGTTATGATGCCTTCAGGGCATGGAAGGGGACTTTTCTCCAGGAGCAATAGGAAATGCACGTGAGGTGGGTGGCAGGGAAGGGAGGTGGCGGAGTTAGAATAGTGATCTGAGATGTCTTTGCCAGTGGTTGTGACATCAGAGACACTGAGGCCCCGGGTGACACCAGGTCTCATGGGTGGCCATGGATGTGAGTGGCGGAGTTGATGTGGAGGGAGTGGCTTTGGGAGGACAGGAGGGAGGAGGCATCAGCACATGTGGAGCAAGAAGGGGTGAAGTGGAGGTTAAAGTCACCCAAGATGATGAGGCTTTCAAAATAGAAACAGAGGTGGAGACTTCACATACAGAGATATATGAAATGTTCTGCAGACCTGGATGTTAGGCAACTGCTTTGCAACACTGTTTATCAGTTATTGAGCTCAGTCTGAGGGAGCACTGCATTAAATGGAGGCGCTGTTCCTTGGATGAGAATGAAAAGTACAGGAACTCTGCAATGTAGGAGGTGCTGTCCTTGGGAATGGATGAGACATATCTATTTAGATGGAGGCTAAAGATCTCATGATAAGCGATGAAGAAAGAAAAGGACTTTCTGTACCCTGGCCAACAATTCTCCAATTAAACTGCTCGTTCTCTTCATGACTGTTTGTAGCACCTTGGACGTGCAAATTGGCTCTGTGTTTGTCAACAGCAGTTACTAATGAAACACTTTGATATGTTATAGGCCATATATCAAAAATCAAGACTTATAAGTCAATAATAATAATCCTTGCATGCGATATGACGCCTTATCACATTGTTGAGATGTCTCAAAAGTACTTCACAGGATATACTATAATGTGTATCCTGTGAAGAATTTTGTGGGCGAAATGTGGCAGCAGCAGTGTCCCACAAAAAACCATGGAGTGAGTGAACAATATTATTTTGGGGGGTTTGTTGGTCTGGACAGCAGGTGGAAGCTTGGTCTATCGTCTCATCTGAAGGACAGCACCTCCGACAGTGTCAGGAATGGTGAATTACTTCAGCCACAGGCTCCGGCAACAGTTAGCAGTTACCAAAAGAGTATTGACCATTACTGCAGATTCAATAGCAGGAGAGAGTTGTTAATAGTCTCTACAGTAGTTAGCAGAATTGGTGAACAATTGTTACCAAACAAAATAGGGACTTTCTCAAAATAGGGACTTTCCCATGATTCACCTTCCACCGAAACAAAGACCTTATCATCCAAAAGTTACATACCTTCCAGAGTCTTGTCAAGGTTTGCAATAAAATCCTCCAGGTCCTGTGTGTCTCCAAGCTTAGCTTGGGGGGGAGAAACGCCAATACAAGTTAAGAACCTGACTCGTCTGTAATCCATCAACAATACAACAGCTTCCCACCCTGACTAGCAGATTACTTCATTGAGATTCAAAAAGGGTGGAGAAGAAGTTGCTTGGAAGAAATCCCCTTTGTACCTATTTTATGGACATCAAAGTGTACAACATTGAGTCTAATCACAGGCGTCCCAACAAAGGGATTCATTCTTGGTGAATTCAGGATAGGTCACACATCACATGATCACAAAATTGGTTTGGATGACAACCCTACCGTCCTCCCATCACAGTATGGAGCTGGCATTGAATTAGGTCCAGTGTCCTGGCCTCAACCACCCTTCCTGTTTCAGTTACTAATTACCCTCCGGGTAAAGAAAAGATTCACTTGTTACCAATCCCTTTACAGAACTGACCCTCGACACGACTGACAACAATATATAAGAAGCTGGAATCCCACAGGGATTGCCTAGCAAATGAAGAGAATATTGTGGGTTTTGGGATGATAAATATATCAATCAGCTGTGCTGTACACCTCACAACTGCCATCATTGTGGGAGGAGACAGAGTGTCAGCCATCATTCTGATGGGCAGTGGGGGGGGAGGGAGAGTGACTGTCACTGTGGTGGTGGTGGTGGTGGTGGTGGGGTAGATAAAAGAGTGACCGTCACTCAGCAGGAAAGGCGCCATGTAAAGTACACCTTACCTTTTGGCATTTCTGTGGCTGTGCTGTTGAGTTTCTCAACGCTGCAGTTTAAGCTGTTTGCAGGAGACGAGTTCACACCTTTAAGAGATAAAGCAGTGCCTTGTTACCAGCAAGAAAGAGAAAACAATATTCAGTTCTTTCTGCTCTCCCCTGCCACACATACACACAGAAAGATTATCATCAGAACAATCTGACATCAATGCAAAATGAACCCTCTTGAATCAATGGAATAGGTTTAGCGTCCAAATTGTTCATTGAAAGTGTTTGTGGGCGAGGCATTCAATGTGAGAGTTGAATGGTGGCCAATGCTATTAGGAATCAGTAAGTGGTTTCTATGCAGTTACAGTGTGTTATGGGTTGGAGCTGGGGCTGAGGCGAGGAAGGTGCTTGTGTATCTTAATGACTTCCGATACAGACTGTTGTCACTATGCACGGCCCGATCTCACTCACTGCAATGCGAGCCAGGAAGCGGGTTACAGTGCACTTCACTAAGCTGAGATCACTTGAAGAGCCATTTCCTTACAGAGCAGTCACTGCACTCCCTCCAGGGAGAGAGAGAGAGTATTCCATTTCAACAATCTATCTCTGGGATTTCCACGTGTAGGAGGTGGGATACAGGGAATTCTCAGGTTGGTTTGGACACTCTTAAGCATGTGATGGGTGTCAGACACCTGACTGACCAAAAGAACATTGCACATCATCAGTGCTCATCACAGCAGTGACTGTAGTGTGTGTGGGTGAATGGAAAAGTTGACTTGCAGGGGCTATGCAAGGATGCTCCAATATAGTGCAACAGCAAGAGAGGCTGCAAACTACCTGCAAACTCAGCAGCTGTTCCCATTCTAATTACAACCCGATTTTCTGCTTTTTTGGGGGTCACACAACATAAAGATCTTAACGCGCTACAGCTTAGGGTGTAGCCATGGTCTTTAGGGGTTATTTAAGATGAATATGTAATCGTGCCTGCAACTTCCCTACTCTATAACCAGCCACCGAAAAGCCCTCACCACTTTGTTTTACACTTCCTGCTGTGAATCAGACCAGAATAAAAGCCACAAACTATTCATTGAGAAAGACTTCAAAATTCAGACGGAAACTCTGGAGTCATGCTGTGGGTTTTAAGGAATGGAGACATTTTAATACTTTAGCTAAAGAGAGAGAATGATCTTATAATTAAAATGGTGGAGGCTGGATGGAACAAGCCGTACAGAGAGGAGCTGCATTGCACATGGAAACGTGTAAGATAAAAGTGGGCTCAACCTCATTTCTGCACAGTGAAAGGAGAGGCTTCTGTTCTGACTGTTCTGCTGCTTCATCCTAGTGTGTCAGCCTGGCTCAGCAGCACTCTGAGTCAGAAGACTGTAGGTTTAAATCCCACGTCGGGACTTGAACTGACATAGCTGAACTCATATATAGCTGACACTCCAATACAGTGCTGGGGTAGCGTTGCATTATTGGAGGTGCTGTTCTTTGGATGAGATGTTAAACCAAGGTCACTTCTGCCTGTTCAGGTGGACGTTAAAGATCCCATGGCACGATTCACAAAAAAAAGAGTTTCTCTCTCCCGGTGTCCTGGCCAACAAACCAAAAATAAAATGGGTCGTTCACTCCATGGCTGTTTTTGGGGCATCGCTGTATGCAAACTGGCTGCTGTGTTTTGCCCTCAAAATGCCACTTTACAATATCCTGTGAAGAGCTCTGAGATGTGATAAGGCGCTACATCAAATGCAAGCATTATTCTTATTGTTAATGACTGCATTTTGTAGGGGGAGAGTTGTAGTTTTGTGGTTATTCTGTATCAGTTAATGGTTTCTGAGGGTTAACGTTCAGGCAGGTGAAGGCAGGGAGGCTGAACGCCTATGCAATGTGCTACTCACTGTGGCGGTCCTCGCTGACACTCATTCTCTTCACCTGATCCAAGTGCGCCTGGTACTGGCACTGCCTGTACTGTCCAGTGCAGGAGAAGTCTGCCATCACCCCATCAAATTCATTCAAGACAGCATCAAAATCCTCCTCCAGCACTGAGAGCAACAACACAACAACACAATCACACACGAGTAACCATGACAGCATGCCCAAACTGTTAGAACTGGAACTTGAAGTCTTGAACTATCCCAACTGTAACTGGGATACTTTGTGATTTTGGCAGCACCGAGACATTTTAGGTCAGGTGCTGATACTCTGCAGTTGAATAGATCTGAGGGCCCCCAAGCCGTGGCTCTTGCCAACCTGCGCTTAATACTTTGTGGAATTAGGTAAGCAGGATGTGTTCCCTCCAGCGGACAGAGAGTGCAGTGCGCATTCCATTCCAACCATCCATCGCTGGGATTTCAATGTGAAGGTGCGATACATGAAATTCTCAGAAACTCTTAAGCAGGTGATGTGTTTCCGCATGTGTCAGACACTCAGCTGAGCAAATAAATAGATAGATAGATCGATCAGTGGAATAGATTGCCCACACAGCACACTCCTAGTCCCAGTAGATGGAGAGCGGTGAGTGGGTGCTACAAGTTTGGCACAGAAGCACCTCATAGCTGTATAAAGGGCAATTCCACCAGCTCTCTCCCCACCCCAACCCCTACCATCACACACACACACACACACCGTGGGCTCATTTCCTGTCGAGTGACAAAAGAACAAACTGCCATTCTGACAAAATGCCTTTAGACCTTCTCCTTTAATACTTCACCATAGATGGGACTACGAACCCACAATCCCTGGTTTAGGAGGCCAGTGCCTTATCCATTAGGCCATTGAGGAGAGACCATTCCAACAATCTATCTCTGGGATTTCCATATCTAAGTGGGAGGAATGGAAATCTCGGTTTGATTTCTAGACTCCTAAGCAACAGTGATGGGATTCCACTTGTGTCAGACACGCGGCTGATGAAAAAAAAAATGTTGCTCCCAACCCTCAGTGGAGACTGGAGAGAGTGGTTGATGTGTGTCCCCACACAATACCATTACCCTCCATTTCCTGACCATCTATAAAAGGGGGCTCATTGCCAGGACAAGTGCCCCACCCACAGGAACTCCTGAATCATCAGGTCAGGTCAGGGTGATGTTCGGACCTGCAGCTTCTGACTCAGAGAAAACATGCACAAACACACACACACAGGTGTGACTGTTTGGCAATTTCTCTGAAAATTGGAAAATAATGTCACACTCAAGATGCCAAAAGGGAGCAATGCATCAGACAGGGTGAAAGTAACAGTGCGATTTCAAGCGGATACTTTAACAACAACAACTTGGTTTGTATAGTGCCCTCCACGCCAGACGGTGTTTCAGAGTGCTTCACAGTAACGGATCCCGTGGCCGAGGCAGGGGGAGGAGGAGGAAGGTGACCAAGGACGCAGTCGAAAAGAAAGGTCTTCAGCAGAGACCTGAAAATAGGAAGAGAGGGGGCGAGGGGAAGCGAGTGAGGAACTGAATTCCAGAGCCTCGCGCCGTAGTGGCTGAAGGCACGGCTGCCGAGGGTGGAGCGGAGGACTCGGGGGACGAGGAGGAGGCAAGAGCCGGAGGAACAAAGGCACACATCAGATCACACAGATTGCTCAGATCATACTTGGAACTTGTGTTTCCTGTGTGCACAGAACCCAAAAGCCAAACAACCACATTTTGTAATCTGCTCAGAGCTGAAAGTCAGCAGAGAAACACCGAACCCGTCCATCGCTTGTCAAAAAAAACTTTACAACTCTCGGCAGTTTCAACAACCAAGTTATTTTTCGGTGGTTAGAAAAAGAGATGAGAGTAATTTACAGTAAGAACCTCTCAGGACACACTCTGAAACATGACACTCACATCACACTGTACCTGTGGGGCAACTGTCACCACCTGACCAGCAGCGGCATGGTAAACCATATACAAGCAGGAGACGGGCAAGTAATCAGCCCAGACAGTCAGACAGTCAGACAGCCCTCTCTTACCGGCAGTGGCAGTGGCAGCGGTTGAGCACATGATAGTGGTGTCTGTCTGGGTGAGTGTCTGGGTGTCTGTCTCAGTCTCTCCAGCCTCTGCTCTCACCTCCAGTCACTGTATTTATGTCAGACCCACAGCGCCCGCCTCCCCCACTGACTGACACTCAGCACCAACCAATCACAACCCCCGGGGCGGCCCGGCTGGAATTCCACTGACATCACAGAAACTAACCAGAGGAACTGGGAGTTCCCGACACCTCCCACCAGGGGATTCCCCCTCCTCACCCCCCCCCCCCACCTCCCCTCCCACCCCCTAACCACCCACACACCACCACCCTCCGCCCCTGTCAAAAGGTCCTCTCCAGGCCACGCCTGACACCCACAGGCAGTCTGGCCAGAAATTGCAATCTGTTTGTAGCCCAAAATACAATCAAACAAATACAACAATATATGTATAGCGCCTTTCACGTCGGGAGGACGTCCGAAGACGCTGGAAAGACTATAGCATTTCAGACCCAAGCTGGGGTCAGGGGGGGAGAAGGGAGGGGAGGGGAAGGGGGGTGGCCGATGGCATGGTCGAAGAGGAGAGTCTTGAGGCGGGACTTGAAGGAGGCTAAGGAGGGGCCGAGGCGGAGTGACTGGGCGATGGAATTCGAGAGGTTGGGGGCAAAGTGGCTGAAGGCTCTCCCACCAATGGTGGGGAGGGTGGTTCGGGGGAGTGGAGCAGCCGGAGCCGGCTGAGCGGGGGCGACGGGCGGGTTGGTAGGGGGTTAGGAGGTCACAGAGTTAGGGTGGGACGAGGCCATGGAGGGCTTTGTAGGTGAGAACCAGTATCTTGAACTGGATCCTTTGAAGGATAGGGAGCCAGTGGAGTCGAGAGTGGGGGAGATGGGGTCACGGAGTTTGGTGTGGGAGAGGACACGGGCTGCAGAGTTCTGGATTATCTGCAGTGGAGGGAGGAGTTGGGAAGGCCGACAAACAGGGCGTTTGCATAGTCGAGCCTGGAGGTACTAGCCCCAAAGTAGCCCCATGTCATCTGTTAATAATAATAATAATCCTTTTGATATAACACCTTATCATATGGTTGAGACTTGAATTGACCATGTATTTTGTGGGCGAAATGTGGCATCCAATTGCACACAGCAGCGTCTCACAAACAGTCGTGGATTGAGTTAATTTTTAAGGGATTATTACCCCTGGAAAAGCCAAACGACTAACAACTGGGTTCCTATTTACTGCTGGGTAAACAGAGGGGTGTGGAGAAAGGAAACTTGCCTAAGGTATTGCCCTGCCCAGGAATTGAACCCGGGTCTTCTTGTGCTCTAACCAATACGCTACAGGACTCCAATATGCTGCCAACCATGGGTAATAGAGTAGCCAATTTAGGTTTAATGCTTCTGAAACTATGTAAGAAATGGTCTTCAAAAGGAAAAAAATTACATTTTGTAGCTTTAAATTAAAAATGCAAAAATTAGGCACCCACCCAAAGCTGTTTTTTTCAAGCACAAAACAAAACACATCCAATTGGGTGAAAACTTGCCCAAGCTGGCACCATTACCCACACAGGACATCTCCTCCGAGGGCTGGGAGGATACCTGCTCCAGGACAGACAGGGCCGCATTTCGCCCACAAAACATAGTCAATCCATTCTACAATATATCCTGTGAAGCACTATATCAAATGCAAGCATTATTATTATGCTTTGCCTGCCAGTAAAATAATTTTCTGAACATTGAATGAAAAGGTCAATAAATTCTAAAGATCTTATGAAGTTGATTTTTTTTTGTCTTGTCTTGTCTCTGATTTACGTTTTTTTAAACAAAAATAAAAAAGGATTGTCCCCAAACAAAAGGCAGATAGATTATCTGAAGCCATATTCCAGTTCAGAATTAGCTGTTGAAGGGTGGAGGGGGCACACTCCAAAACATGACACTAAGGTGACACTGTCCTGAACTAACGTTATATGTTTCTGCAGTAAAGAAACACCTGTCACTCCAAAAGGCCAACGGGTGGGTGATGCTGGGAACATTTTGTGATGTGAACAGCTTATTGTGGTAGTTATGAAGAGTGAGTCACACCCTCTCAAACTGCACAGAACAATTCCAATGAAGCAACCACAGAGCGAGGTCAGAATGTCAGCGGGTGCGTGTCAGGGCAGAGGCTGGAATCTAGCCCAGCGCACAGGCTGACAGGCTACAGCAATTCCATCCACAAACCGCAGCCCCCGGCCCAGCCCACTGCCACAGTAACACAGCCTCACAATCACTGAATTGTACAGCACAGAAGGAGACCATTTCACCCACTGTTGTGCCAGCTTTCTGTCCCGTTCTCTGGTCCTCTCCGATTTTAAAATATTTCATTCCCTTTGAAAAGCCACTGTGGATTTTGCATCTGTCTCAGTTTTCGTTATGGGTCTGAGTAAAATTGTAGAATATTAAACACAGGCTGGGCTGTGTGCCAGGACTTGCCAGGCTTGTCAACAAGGTTGTATGGAATGTGAATCGGCCTTTGTGTATGAGGTTTATTCAGAGAACGAAGAAGCAAACATTAGCAAGGGGCAGCTCCTTAACCTCTTTTAATGACAGTTTGTGAGATGTAGCTTTGTGCAAAGTGGCATTTGTCTATAAAATGTACAGTTACTGTATTATACAGCAACTCCTGTGAAGCAATTTGAGATGTCTTCCTAACGTGAAAGGCACTACATCAAATGCAAGGATTATTTAAATATTTATTGTATTTATAATAATAGTAATCCTTGCATTTGATACAGAGCCTTATCACATCTTCGAGACATCCCAAAGTGCTTCACAGAATATACTGTAAAGTGAATTGACTGGATATTTTGCGGGCGAAACATAGCAGCCAATTGCGCACAGCAGCGTCCCACAAACAGTCGTGGATTGATTGACCAAATTATTATAATTTTTTGAAGGGATTATTACTGCCTGAGAGTGATCCGCCAATCGACTAACAACCAGGGTCCTGCTTACTGCTAGCTGTCAGAGGTGTGTGGAGTAAGGAAGCTTACCTAAGGTTTCACCCTGCCCGGGAATCAAACCAAGGTCCTCTCACTCGTGAGATGAGTGCTCTAACCAATATGCGACAGGATTCCACATTGGGTGATTTATATGATTTCTTCACTAAATCATCTCCTGGACCAGCAGGCAAGCAACAATCATCGAATTGAGTTGAAAACTAAATTTTTTAAAGGATTATTGCCCCGGGAAAAACGATCTGCCAATCGACTAACACCCAGGTTCCTATTTACTATTTATTTGCAAATAATTGAATTTACCTTTCCCTGTGTCTCCCTGTGAATAATCACAGTTCTAATCACTTTAATAGGTTTGTAATTTATGCTTCTCAATGGACCTGGGACAATGGGGGAGTTAATGTGATGTGAGGGAGTTAATGTACATCAAATTCTCAGGATTTGTACTTTGGTCTCTGGGTTCCTCCTTTCAGCCACACGATGGTGATAATGAGCACATGTTTCTGGTGAATCCCAGCATCTCTCCACAGTCCTCTCCAGGCACAGAAAGATTTTACTGAAATCAAAGGTGGTCCAGATGTCAAATCTGGCTTTAACAAAGATGTCAGACAGTCTGTCATTGCAGTCTAATAACAGGGGAACCATGAAGAAAATATTGATTATGATTAAATCAGGTTGGATTGCTGCCTGGTGATGTGGTTCCACCCGAGTCAGTGTGATGAGTAATAGAATAGAATCATAATAATAATCATAGAATCTTACAGCACAGAAGAGGCCATTCGGTCTTTGTAAGAGCTATCAAGGTTAGTCGATTAGTCAATTAGCGGATCGCTTTCCAGGGGTAATGATTTGTGTGTCAGCCTGATATAGTGGGTTGTGTGCAACTGGTTACCTAGTTTTGCCCACAAAATACACAGTCACTCCATGTTACGGTGTATCCTGCAATGTACTTTGAGATGTTACAAATGCCTTACATCAAATGCAAGGAGTTTATCTTTAGCCTAGTGCAGGAGGCCTATCAGAACAAAATACAACTAGAAGCCATCCATTGACTCCTGAGGCCCACACTGGTAAAAAGAACAAATATTGGACAATCTGCTCCGGGGGAAAAATAATAATCCTCACATCTGATAATAATGCCTGATCACTTCATCGAGATGTCTCAAAACGCTTCTCAGGATATATTGTATAGTGTGTTTTTATACTCCTTGCATTTGGTATTAGCACCTTTCACGTCAAGCGGGCATCTCAAAGCACTTCACAAGATATACTGTAAAGTGAAGTGACTGTGTATTTTGTGGGAAAAACGTGGCAGGCAGTTGCACACAGCAATCATAGAATTGTAGAATTATACAGCACAAAAGAGGCCATTTGGTCTTTATAAGAGCTATCAGGTTAGTCGATCAGTCTTTGTTCACCCTATCGAAACCCCTCATAATTTTCAAAACTTCTATTAAGTCTCCTCTTAACCTTCTCTACTCCAAGTAGAATAATCCCGGCTTCTCTCGCCTCTCCTGATAACTGCAGTCCCTCATTCCTGGTACCATCCTGGTCAATCTCCTTTGTAACCTCTCCAATGCCTTGGCGTTGTGGTGCCCAGAACTGAACACAGTCTCCAGCTGATGCCTAACCAATGTTTTATAAAGGTTATATATCAATGTCCCACAAACCGCCAGAGAGTGAGTGACCAACTTTATCTGGGGGATTGTTTGCCAGGATACCTGGAAAAACTCCCTCTCTTTATTGAATAGTGCTATGGAATCTTAATGTCCACCTGAACAGGCAGACGGACCTCAGTTTAAAGCCTCATCTGAAAGATGGCACCTCCAACAATTCAGCGTTCCCCCAACACTGCCCTGGAATGTCGGCCATTGTGTGGGTGAAGCAGATAAATGGAGAGAATATATTATACAGTCTGTCAGGGTCACCCTCCCACCCAAATGGAACGAGAAGCAAACTTTTTAAAACAAAGATAATGTGCAAACATGTGTTCATTAGATTTTATTTTTCCTTTTAAATTAGAAACAAGTTACATTTAATGGAATTACACATAGCTTCACACACGCCCCCACAGAGTGAGCGTCCATCATAAACAAGTGACGTTACAATACTTTCCTTATCACAAACACCTCGAACACATACTTCAGCTGCTGCCTCAACCCCACCCACACCCTGTGGAGCTCAGTCGCCAGCAGTGAACACGCAGCCTGCTCCACTGTATAACAAGCCCAAGAGGCAGCGAGCATTCAAACAGTGACCACAGAGTGCACCATCCACCATCACACCAGGGGGAGCCGGGAGCTACTGGGCCAGGGGTGGGGGGCACTAGAGCAGGGAAAGGGGCTGCTCCACACTAATCCTGGTTCAGATCTCACTGGCTGGTTCAGACTGCATGACTTTAACAAGACTTGTACATTATTTGTAAACTAACTCATACCAGCCACTTCAGAGAGATCAGGCTCTCTGTCTGTCTGTCTCTCTTTCTCTGCTGGGTTGCATTCCAGGTTTGGGTCCTTGTCCTGGTGACAGGGAAGGAGATGGCAGGATCCTTGTTTCTTGTAGCAAAGGGGAGTTTGACATTCTGAAGAGAAGGAGGGGGGCAGACTATGTTCCTTCCCTTATCAAACTAGTGGGGAAGGGAGGCAGTGCCTACATCCTGTGCGGGTCAGGAACTCTCTGGGTAAGGAAGGGAAGACACAAATGATAGAGAGAGAGAGAGAAAGAGAGATCAGTTTCTGTACAAGCAAGAACAATTAAAGCAAGTTTCAGACACTGAGCAGAACATATTTGGTTGAATAGTCCGTGGTCATAGTTTGACCCAGATGGTCCCAGTTGGTGCAACAAGTCCCTGGAAATGAAGTTAATTCATTTCTCGTTGTGTTCAGACACAAAACTATTTTGTTTTACGAAAAGTGCGATTTACTGCCTTCTAATTTTATCCATAGCACATCAGCTTTGCTGATCAGTGCCAGCTAGAGGGCATGAGCCCTTCCACTCATCACACCTCCCCCCACTTTACCAGAGGCCAAAGCGATGGGGACATGGCTTTATCCAGCAACAATATCGATCAGCTTTAGTCAGTGCAGACACGATAGGCCAAATAGCTTCTTCTTCTATGCCTATGGTTCTGTGGCTTGTGTTGGGGTCAGCGACCACAGTGATCTATATTACAACTTGGTTGGACTCTGAAACAAGTGTGTTCTGATGAAGCTACAGTGAACGTCACCTTCAAGCTGCTGCTGTTTGCTCAATGTCAGGTTAGAGTGAGAGATGAGGTTCCGTGCCCAAGACTGGCCTGGCTGGGTCACGGGGACTTTAAACAGAGCCTGGACATTAGATTGGCTAAAAGAAAAAGGTCAAGTGTATCACAAGTCAAACTCTTTCACAAACAGCACTCCTTAACACTCGCTGACACTTCACCCTTTAAATGCGAGGAGCATTTGGTAATCCCAGGTTCTTGGCGAAGCCTGAGTTCAAGGCGCATCAATCAGCTGACAGCACCTGGAACCTGTCTCTGTCTCACGTATCCAGATAAAAAGCAGGTGGTGACAGCATGGCAAATCTGGAGTCCTGTAGCTTAGTGGTTAGAGTACTCGACTTGCAAGCGAGAGGACCTGGATTCGTGGGCAGGGCAAAACGTTGGGCAAGCTTCCTTACCACTCACATCTCTGTTTACCTTGCATCAAGTAGGAACCGGGTTGTTAGTCGATTGGCAGATCGCTTTTCTGGGGTAATAATCTCTTCAAAAAAATATAAATAATTAATAATAATAAATTGTTCACAAATTAGTGTCCCACAGTGTCCGACTGTTTGTGGAACGCTACTGTACACATTTCGCCCACAAAACTTACAGTCAATTCACCTTATAGTATATTCTGTGAAGCGTTTTGAGACATTTAGATTATTATTATTATTATTATTATTATTATGTCTCCCAAGACACTTGCCCAGGTGGCAATGCCAGTCACATAGGCTGAGGGCAACAGAGCAGCATAAAAACAGTCGCTGTACTGTGGCACAGAGACCCGAACAGCAACTCAATTGACGGGGTTGGAGGGAGAGAGAAGAGGTTAAGAGATGCTCTTATGTAATGTACAAAATGTTGTGTCTGTCAAGTGGTATTCAGCCAGGATCAAGGGAAGGCTGTCACTGATGTGCACAGTGCATAGATCACGTGCTGCTCCTTCCCTCCTGACCGCTCAGCACGGACAGGGATTCCTGCCGTTGGGCTGCTGTGAGAGCCGCAGGTTGGCATCCCGCCATTCCGTCTCCCGGAAGCTCAGAGCTTTCTGCGCCTTCAGCTTACAGGCCAGCGACATGAAGATGGACTCCACGTGCTCGCTCTCCCGTGGGTCCTTGGCTGATGTCTCAAACAGCAGCATGTTGTTGGCGTCGGCAAAGCGCAGCGCCGCGCTGGACGGCACCTGGACCTCCCGGGTCAGGTCACACTTGTTGCCCACCAGGACCCGCGGCACATGGGGAGAGACCGAGTGGCTGTTACATTCCTGAATCCACGCCTTCAGGTTCTCGAATGAGCCCAGTTTGGTGACGTCGTATACAAAGACCACAGCATGCACGTTCCGGTAGTAATGCTCCACCATGCTCTTCCTGAAGCGCTCCTGCCCGGCTGTGTCCCACACCTGGATCTAAACACAAAGCAGAACATTAACGAGACCAGAGTTAACGTCCATGGAAACATATCACTTTCTCCCCTTTTAACCTTCTCCCTTCCATCCTCCCATCCCCCACCTCTCCTAAAAGCAGTGTCTCATACTGCAATAGGTCCACAAGGGTCACCTCGCATTCTTCTCATGTGGGGCTGACGGGGAGAGGGAGCAGCGTCTCCTTGGAGCTGAGCTGTCTTTAGGACATGTTGGAATTCTGCCAACCCTCTGTAGAGGTCTCGTTAATCCAGTTTCTGACTGCTTCAGGGCACTGCTGATGACAACCCAGCCAGCCTGTCCATCAGTAGTTCTTGGTTTCTGCATATGTCTGACACCAGACTGGCCACGGTGATGGGTTTCCGTGTGTGTCAAGACACCAGACTGACCACGGTGATGGGTTTCAGTGTGTCTCAGACACTCGGTTGATCGCGGTGATGGGTTTCCATGTGTGTCAGACACCCGGCTGATCAAGGTGATGGATTTATGTGCATGTTAAACACCCGGCTGAGCAACAAAAATATTCAGGCTGAGTTTCTCTCTAGTGTCCTGGCCAACAATCTACTCAGTAAAATTGGTCACTAACTTCATGGCTGCTGTGCTATGAAATACACAGTCAGTACTTTATTATAAATCCTGTGATTTACACTTTGAAACGTTTGAATGATGTGATAAAGGGTTATATCAATGCAAGGATTATCACTTTGATGGTCTGGGAAGCTGATCCCAGAAATAGATCCATAGGTGGGGGAATAACCCAAGTAGACACCATTACGCATAATAATGATGATAATCCTTGCAGTTGATATAGCGTCTTATCACGTCTTCGAGACATCTCAAAGCGCTTCACAGAATATACTGTAAATTGAATTGACTATATATTTTGGGGGCAAAACGTGGCAGCCAATTACACACAGCAGTGTCCCACAAACAGTCGTGGATTGAGTGACCAAATTATTATTATTTTTGTTTGCTATACATGACTTTGTGTAATTCCATTGGTGTGCTTACTCTAGTCCCACATTCAGTGAGGAGCGTTTGCACTTACTGTGGATATCTGACACCAGTACTAAAGAATGCAACGGTTAATGAGAAGCCACCATTGCAGACCTCAGGACACACACAACACACACACACACACATAACAGACACAAAAAACCAAACCCAACCCACTGCACATTACTGTAGTTTAACACACGCAGATCACAGGTAGGCAACACATTGTAATAATAATAATCCTTGCAGTTGATATAGTGTCTTATCACGTCTTCGAGATTCTTCGATAACAGCTTTCAAAAGGGAATTGGATAGGTACTTAAAAAGGAAAAAATTACAGGGCTAAGGAGTAAGAGCAGGGGAGTGGGACTGATTGGGTAGCTCTTTGAAAGAGCCGGCTCAGACAAAATGGGCCAAATGGCCTCCTTCTACGTTGTAATATTCTATGATTCGATGACTGGACATCAATGCGCTCAGTGAAGCTCCGTTACATCACATCAGCCCACCTTTTGCTGGGTTGACATGGGAAAAGGGGGGGGTGTGGGGGGAAACTACACCACCAAATAGTTCAGTGTAGAACATCCAGTGAGGATATCAGCAGCTGGTGCAGTTATTCCCACTTGCCACAGATTAGAATCTGTATAACTGAGACAAGGCTTTACTGAAGAATAATCCTGTTGGGTGAGTAGGATTTGGGTTTAACCTGAATGTAATTGGATTGAGCTGTGTGTGTGTGAAATATGACTCCTTGCCCAAGAGTGTTTTTTTTGTCTAAAATAGTCTGCAGTACAGAGATGTTCAGATAACAAACGTCATCTTGGCTCAGTTGGAACATCTGGATCTATCATTAGTGTTTGGAACTCACAGTCTACACTGACATTCCAGCCCCGAGCTGGGGGAGCGCTGTGTTAACGTGGGTGACGTCCTTCAGAATATATATTAAATCAAGACTCTACCTTCAAGGCACTGTCCTTGAATGGTTTAGGTCGTACCTTTCTCACCGTCTTCACTTTGTCTCGACGAATGGCTTCTCCTCCACCCCCCGTACTGTCTCATGTGGTGTCCCTCAGGGCTCTGTCCTCGGTCCCCTCCTCTTCACCCTCTACATGCTCCCCCTCGGTGACATCATCCGCAGACATGGAGTTAACTTCCACATGTATGCGGATGACACCCAACTCTACCTTTCCTCCTCTACTCTCAACTCCACGACCACCGATGTCCTGACAGCTGCCTGTCCAACATCGAGTCCTGGACGAGAGACAACTTTCTTCAGCTCAACGTGCGAAAAACCGAGGCCCTCCTGATTGGTTCGCGTCAGCGCCTCCGCACCTCAGCATCCAAGGCTGCACTCTCCACCTCTCAAAGCCGGTCAGGAACCTCGGCGTTTTGTTCGACCCTGAGCTGTCCTTTCTCCCTCACATCCGCACCACAACTGGCACCGCCTTCCATCACCTCCGGAACATCGCCAGACTACGGCATTACCTCACCCCTCACGCGGCTGAAACCCTGGTCCACGCCTTTGTCACCTCAAGGCTGGACTATGGGAACTCTCTCCTCGTCGGCCTTCCCGCCACCTCCCTCCACAAGCTGCAGGTCATTCAGAACTCTGCAGCTCGTGTACTGTCCCGCACCAGACACCGCGACCACATCACTCCCACCCTCGCTCGCCTCCACTGGCTCCCCATCCCCCAGAGGATTGATTTCAAGATCCTCATCCTCACCTACAAGGCCATTCACGGCCTCGCTCCCTCCTACCTCTCCAACCTACTATCCCCCTACCTACCTGCCCGTACCCTCCGTTCCTCCGGCTCCGGTCTGCTCCACGTCCCCCGCCCCAATCGCCCTACCATTGGTGGTCGGGCCTTCAGCCTCTCAGCCCCGAGGCTCTGGAACTCCATCCCCCAGTGCCTTCGCCGCCTCCTCCCTTTCCTCCTTCAAGGCCGGTCTCAAAACCTTTCTCTTTGACCGAGCCTTCAGCTCCCCTCTCGACTCTCTTCCCCCTTCTCGCTCCCTCCCATCCCTCCCCTCACCCTGACCATTTCCCCCCTCCTCGCTCCCTCCCCTCCCCTCACCCTGACCATTTCCCCCCTGCTCGGGTCATGACCCAACTGTGCAGCGCCTTGGGACGTCCTCCTGACGTGAAAGGCGCTTTATAAATGGAATCTTGTTGTTGTTGTTGTTGTTGCCTGTTCAGGTGGACATTAAAGATCCCATGACACTATTTGAAAAAGGGATGTGCTATACAAATGTAATTTATAATAATAATAATAATCCTTGCATTTGATATAGCGCTTTTCACATCAGGAGGACGTCCCAAAGCGCTTCACAGAACACACTGTAAAGTGAATTGACTGTATATTTGTGGGCGAACGCGGCAGCCAATTGCGCACAACAATGTCCCACAAACAGTCATATGGATTGAAAATGACCAATTTATTATTGTTTTGTTTTTTTGGAGGGATTATTATTAGGCTCTGTGTGGAGTAAGGAAACTTGCCCAACGTTTCGCCCTCTGCCTGGAATTGAACTCAGGTCTGTCACTTGCAAAGCGAGTGCTCTAACCACTGAGCTACAGGACTCCACATTTGTTGTTGTTGTTAATCTGGTTGTTGATTACCCTACTAATGGAGTCAGATTTCCTAGTGTCTGTCCTAAACTTGTCCTTCACATCCTTGAACCTGCGCCCTCTTGCTCTCTGTATATCACCTGTATCCATTTAGAATCTTATATACTCTATAAGGTCCTCTCTGATACACATTAGAATACATTAGAATATACAGCACAGAAACAGGCCATTCGACCCAACTGGTCTATGCCGGTGTTTATGCTCCACATGAGCCTCCTCCTGCCCTTCCTCAACTAAGCCTTCAAGCATCACCTTCTATTCCTTTCTCCCTCATGTTCCTCTTAAATACATCTGTTATTTGCCTTAACAACTCCTTGTGGTAGCATGTTCCACATTCCCATTTCTCTCTGTGAAGAAATTTCTTCTAAATTCCCTATTTGATCTATTTGTGACTATCTTATATTGATGGCAGATATAGTGGTTAGCGCATTCACCTCGCAAGCGAGAGGACCCAGGTTCGATTCCCGGGCAGCCTTAGGCAACTTTCCTTACTATTCCTTATTATCTCTTAGCATAGATGAAGAATCCTAGCTTATAAAATAATAAATATTTGCAATAAATCCTTGCATTTGGTTTAGCATCTCTCACTTCCAGCCATTCCTCTAATTCCTTCTATCTTCTGCCCTCCCTCTTGGATCTGGGAAGTCCTGTATGCCCATCAGCCCCTGGATCTGTACATCGGATATTTCCATATTTCAACACCATCACACACACTCCTCCACTCAATACCGCACCTGAACAATAAGGTGTAATAGAAGCTGGCTTCACCAGAAGATAGCAAATATTCTGTGGTATTTGGAAGAGGAATGTGAATTTATGACTTGCCGATTGACAGTGGTCATTATTTACCTGCTAGAGCTTCTCCATCTCCAATGGAAATCTGATCTACAGACGTGAAATTCCTGCTTAGAACTCTCGCAGTCATTCTCAATAAGGCCAGCTCTTCTGTGTACTGTGGTAAGAAAGGACTTGCATTTTACAGCAACTTAGCAGGTAACTACAGTTAAGTGCAGTGAGTGTTTGTAGATGAAAGTGACAGCCATATTGCATGCAAACAGCTATGTGGTGAAAGACAATTAATCTGGAAATAATTGTTAATAATATTAAACCTTGCATTTGATACAGCGCCTTATCACATCTTCGAGACATCTCAAAGTGCTTCACAGAATATACTGTAAAGTGAATTGACTGTATATTTTGTGGGCAAAACATTAGGACACTTCCCTAATACTACACTGGAGTGTCAGCCTAGATTATGAGCTCTCTGAGACACAGTCTGGCATGAAGGACGCTATATAAATGCAAGTTGTTGCTGTTGTGCTAACATGGAGCTTGAACCTACTACTTTCTGACCAAGAGCCAA